AGTAAGGAGTAGGCTGCTCATTCTGGGCTTAAACAATGACTCTGATAATGACTCTGTACATACAGTGCATTCGGAAAGTATTCATACCCCTTGACTTTTTCCACATTTTGTTACGTTACAGCCTTATTCTAAAATTGATTAAATGTATATCTACACACAATACCCCATAATTTTTGCACATTTATTTAAAATAGAAAACTGAAATACCTTATTTACATAAGTATTCAGACCCTTTGCTATGAGACTTGAAATTGAGCTCAGGTGCATCCTGTTTCCATTGATCATCCTTGAGATGTTTCTACAACTTAATTGTAGTCCACCTGTGGTAAATTCAATTGATTGGACATGATTTGGAAAAGCACACAACTGTCTATATAAGGTCCCACGGTTGACAGTGCATGTCAGACCAAAATAAGTTTGGAACCACCAAGACTCTTCCTAGAGCTGGCCGCCGGGCCAAACTGAGCAATTGGAGGAGAAGGGCCTTGGTCAGGGAGGTGACCAAGAACCCAATGGTCACTCTGACAGAGCTCCAGAGTTCCTCTCTGGAGATGGGAGAACCTTCCAGAAGGACAACCATATCTGCAGCACTCCACCAATCAGGCCTTTATGGTAGAGTGGCCAGACAGAAGCCACTCCTCAGTAAAAGGCACATGACAGCCCGCTTGGAGTTTGCCAAAAGGCACCTAAAGGACTCTCAGAACATGAGAAACAAGATTCTCGGGTCTGATGAAACCAAGATTGAACTTGTTGGTCTGAATGCCAAGCGTCACGTCTGGAGGAAACCTGGCACCATCCCTACGGTGAAGCATGGTGGTGGCAGCGTCATGCTGTGGCGATGTTTTTCAGCGGCAGGGACTAGGAGACTAGTCAGGATTGAGGGAAAGATGAACGGAGCAAAGTACAGAGAGGTCCTTGATGAAAACATGCTCCAGAGTGCTCAGGACCTCAGACTGGGCGAAGGTTCATCTTCCAACAGGACAATGACCCTAAGCACACAGCCAAGAGAACGCAGGAGTGGCTTCGGGACAAGTCTCTGAATGTCCTTGAGTGGCCCAGCCAGAGCCCGGACTTGAACCCGATCTAACATCTCTTGAGAGACCTGAAAATAGCTGTGCAGCGACGCTCTCCATCCAACCTGATAGAGCTTCAGAGGATCTGCAGAGAAGAATGGGAGAAACTCCCCAAATACAGGTGTGCCAAGTTTGTAGCGTCATACTCAAGAAGACTCGATGCTGTAATCGCTGCCAAAGGTGCTTCAACCAAGTACTGAGTAAAGGGTCTGAATACTTATGTAAATGTGATATTTCAGTTGTTGTTTTTTCTACAAATTTGCTAAAATTTCAAAAAAACTGTTTTTGCTTTGTCATTATGGGGCATTGTGTATAGATTGATGAGGGGGAAAAAACAATTTAATCAATTTTAGAATAAGACTGTAACGTAATAAAATATGGGAAAAGTCAAGGGGTTTGAATACTTTCCGAATGCACAGCAGAGTAAACGGTCACTATGGTCTTAAGCACCACTGACCTTGCTAATGGCTCTGCTTCTGGTGCCTGTGGGTGACGAAGAGGGGTCAATGTTTTAGATGAAAGTCATACTTTTTCTCTTACATACACATATTTTCATACATGACTGCAAACACATAAATACAAAACGTAGTCAGCCGAAATGTACGCGCACACACTCACACACAAAAGCATATTGATTGTTACATTTTTTACTCACATAGGCATTTTCATTGAACACCCCACCCCTCCATCCCCCATTCCTGTACCTCAGTCTATGCACACACACACACACACACACACACACACACACACACACACACACACACACACACACACACACACACTCCCCATTCTATGCTCCTCATAATAGAATCCTCTCTCCCTCCCCAACAGTGTTATGAGCTCTGTGTGTTGTTGTGAAAGCTCTTCTCTCTGTGTGTCTTTGTGACAGCTCTTCTCTCTGTGTGTCGTTGTGAAAGCTCTTCTCTCTGTGTGTCGTTGTGAAAGCTCTTCTCTCTGTGTGTTGTTGTGAAAGCTCTTCTCTCTGTGTGTCGTTGTGAAAGCTCTTCTCTCTGTGTGTTGTTGTGAAAGCTCTTCTCTCTGTGTGTTGTTGTGAAAGATCTTCTCTCTGTGTGTTGTTGTGAAAGCTCTTCTCTCTGTGTGTTGTTGTGAAAGCTCTTCTCTCTGTGTGTCGTTGTGAAAGCTCTTCTCTCTGTGGGTTGTTGTGAAAGCTCTTCTCCTGAGAGGGAAGTGGTGCTGCTGTGTCTCTATCTCTCTGTCCCATCTCTCCATCATTCTCCAGAGCCCACCCAGAGGAGAAGAATAGCACTCCCTATATCTCTCTTTTCTTTCTATCACCTGCTCTCTTTCTTTCGTTGCTGGTTGATTCCCTCCCTTCCTCTCTCTCTCGTCCTCCTCACCTCTGTTCTCTCTGGTTTTCACACTCATTTGCAGGTACACCTTTCTTGTCCCTCTTCTCTCCTCTCTTACTCCTCTTCTCTCCTCTCTCTCCTCTCTTACTCCTCTTCTCTCCTCTCTCTCCTCTCTTACTCCTCTTCCTCTCTCCCTCACCTCTCTAGCCCTCCCCGCCCCTCTCTCTCTGTCTCCCATCTTTCTTGCTCCCTCTCTTTCTCTCCCTACCTATCTCCGTCTTCTTCTCTCTCTCTCTTTCTACCTCATCCACCCCCTCTTTCTCTCCTTCCCTACCCGTCCTGTCTCTTTCTCCCCACCCAATATCTCCTTTAGCTCTCTCTGCCCCTCTATCCCCTCTCTCCCCCCTCTCTCCTCTCTCTGCCCCTCTCTCCTCTCTCTCCCCCTCTCTCCTCTCTCTCCCCCTCTCTCCTCTCCTCTCCCCCTCTCTCCCCCTCTCTCCTCTCTCTCCTCTCTCTCTCCTCTCTCTCCTCTCTCTCTCCTTCTCCCCCCTCCCTCTTCTCCCTGTGTTATCTGTTGTGTGTCTGAAAGGTCACCTCTGCTCTGTTTGTCATCTAAACAAACAGTGTGCCGCCTCATAGAGATCCCTGATGAGATATGGAGCGCTGCTCAGCTCTGAAACACACACGTGCACGCAGGCACACGCACAAACAGGCACACACACTCACAAACACACACACACATACACCCGCACTTAGAAACTTGCACGTTCCGAGAAACACACACACTCTTTCTCTCTCGCGCTCTCTCTCTCTCACACACACACTTTATGTTTTTACTATCCTTGTGGAGACCTAAATTTGATTTCCATTACAAATCCTATTTGTAACCTTAACCCTAAACCTAACCCTAACTCCTAAACATAACCCCTAACCCTAATTCTAACACTAATTGTAACCCTAAACCTAACCTCTAAGCCTAAAATAGCCTTTGTCCTCATGGGGATGTGGGAAATGTCCCCACGAGGGAGAATTTCCCTTGTTTTACTGCTGGGGACATGTGGGGATTACCCACAAGGATAATAATACACACAAACTCTCACACACAACACACACACCCTCAAATGCACACAGCACTCACGAGCCCCAGCAGTCATATTGATCCAAACTCCCCTCATGCCAAGTTCTGATTGGCTGTCTGTCATCAAAGGGCCTGTCGAAACCAATAATACCTGCCACTGTGTATGGACCTCCGTAAATGTCAGTTAGTGTAGAAGTATAGCTCTGCACATAGAGTGTGTGTGTGTGTGTGTGTGTGTATACATTGTACAGTCTCTGTGTAGAGAGTATAATTGGGCTGTCTATTATGTTCCTCTCAGTAAATCTATATGGAACTCTGTCATAGCCACAGCTAGGGGATATTAGGGCTCTGTCCCAAATGGCACCCTGTTCCCTTTATAGTGCACTACTTTTGATCAGGGTCCGTAGGGAAGTGCACTATGAAGGGAATAAGGTGCCATTTGGGGGCTGTTCCCTGTCTTGCAGATGGGATGGTGTGGTATTGGAGATGATGGGCTATTATTGCTGTTTTATATTCATTGTGGTACTTTTACAAATGGAAACCCTTTAAGTATCCTATTTTAATCTAGTTGGATAGCTATTTTAGAAAATTACATTGAAAGATGATCAATATTTAGTTTCATTTAATGGGCCACAGAGATCTGGTATTAGCTCAGACAGAGTCTTGGTGTAGTTGGTGTACCTGTTTTGAGGTTGTTTTCATGTTGACAAGATGTTGCTGTGAGATTGTGTTATCTTGACCGTCGTACATTACTGTTTTTTCCTTCAGACCCCTATGGACTGCCCCCGAAACCTGCCAAACCAGACCAAAGTGCGGGTCGTACCAACACCAGAAATACAGGTAAGAGGGGTGTGGAGGAGCTTACACACTTACACCACCATGAGGATAGAGGATACCACAACCAATACAAAAATACAAAAAAAGCAAGCGAGTGAATGAGCGAGTAAAGAAAGAAAGGAAGCGACAGAGAACGAGGGACGTTAAAAACGACAGATGGAGGATACGAGCTGGAGACATCTGTGGGCTCTCTCTATTTAAATCCATCCCTCTATCTCTCTGTCCATCCCCTCTTTTCTTCTCCTCCCCTCAGAGCTAAGTGCCGCAGGCGAGTAACAACGGCTCTAATAGCTGCCCAGGGAGTAGGGGCAAGGTGGGGAGAGGAGGGAGACCAGGGGCGCCATTTGAAGGAGTTATTATTGTCATTAGTTTGGGCGGCCTGGTTTCTGTTGGTCCGCGGAGAGAAGGAAGAGGAGAAAAGAGAAGAGGAGAGAGGAGAGGGAGATAGAGGAGGGGAGCTGAGGAGGAAGGGATGTTGTCTCATGGCAGGGAGCAAGTTGACCTGGTCTTTGTGTGCTGGATGGTTCTGTCTCTCCCAAACACATACAGACTGTGTCCCAAATGGCACCCTGTTCCCTATAAAGTGCACTACTTTTGACCAGAGTCCTAAGGGGCCTCGTGCCATTTGGGACATGACCATACAGGCCATCTCTACACTCTAATGTGAAGTGTGTGAAGTGGAAATGAGAGAACTGATGAGAGATGGAGAGAGAGATGAGAGTAAAGGAGAAAGCACAGAAGACAGAGAAAGGGAGGAGAGTGAGAGGGGTGAGAGAGGAAAGGAAGGAAGAAGGCTTCACCGTTGAAGGAGCAGAAAACAGAAAGAGGATAGGAAAGAGAGAGAGTGGGGAGGGAGAGGGAGGACGGGAGAGGGGGAAGAGAACAGGGGAAATGATGATAATAGACAGAGCTGTTGAAAGGAGGAGGAGGAGATGGAGCGAGAGAGAGAGATGTTGGGGTAATGGAAGGATGGAGGGAACGAGAGAGGGAGGAGGGAAGAAAGAGAGAGGCGCAGAGCGGAATTGGTGTCTAGTATTAGCGTTTTGTCAGTCAGTCAGCTAGACAATCAGTCAGTCAGTCCTGCATGCACTTTAGGAAGACGATAGAAGAGAGGGAGCGAAAACAAAAGGGGAAATGTGCCAACGATAATGATGACCCAATCCCACGACCGCCCTAACCACTACCACAGCCGACGTTTGCATGGTCAACACGACCATTCCTCGCAGGGGTTCCCAAACCCAACAGACACCTGCTGGGCTATGACCGTACATGCGGTCGGACCATAAGGTTGGGACCATGTTCCAACCAGGCAGCATCACTGTGTGGTCTCTAGCTATAGAGACCCAGATTGTGCCCCAAATGGCACCCTATTCCCTATATAGTGCACTACTTTTTACCAAAGCCATATGGCAACCTATTCCCTATACAGTGCACTAAATCGAGAGTGGGGTGCCATTTGGGATGCTGTCCAAACCACCCACCCATTCTGACTCCTTTATGTGGGCTAGCGCTAATGCTACATAAACAGCGTTGTTAGGCTTAAGGGATAAAGTGTGTTGCCTTGATCCCCTCACTGTGGGTTGCTGAAGCTTCTAGTCAGAGCCAGCCTCTCAGTTGGTCTCCACAGGCATAGAGGAACATTCCAAACCCTCTTATATCCAACACCATCCACTAAGTTATGTCAATAAACAACACATATGGTCACATTGGCTGCATTCTTTCCTGTTGGGATAGCCTTTGATGGTTCTGCCACTGGAACTAAAGGAAGACGGTTAGTCACCTTGGTGTGGTATAGGCATGTTTATTGCCGTGTAATATCTAATGTATATAGAAGAGGTTACACCCTGAAGTAGGCACGGTTCAGGGTTCAGAATTGCCTATGAGAGGTACAGTGTACTTTCTTGTGTACATGTCAAAGTTTGTCAAAGGTAAAGTTATATAAAATTGTATTTACGTCTTTTATAATGTTACCAAAATAACCTTTTCTTGTGTCATTCTACAGGTGGTGCTGGTAACGCCACCCATCCCAGGGTTCCTAGCGGTGGCGGCGGGGATTCGGGAGACGCGGGGGGTGAGAACGGACCCCTCCCCCCCTCCAACGTGGCAGTCATTGCCGGCGCTGCAGGGGGCTCTGCCTTCCTCCTCCTGGTCACCGCGGTGATCTGCGTGGTGTGTTACCGGCGGCGACACGCCAAGCACTCGGAGTCCCACCACCCGCCCCTGTCACTCTCCTCCCTCACCAGCCCCAAGAGGCATGGCGGCGGGCACGGCGGCGGCCATGGTGGCGGTAACAACAACGGCTCGGAACCCAGTGACATCATCATCCCGCTGCGGGCTTCGGACTCGGCATACTGTCCTCACTATGAGAAGGTGAGCGGGGACTATGGTCACCCCGTCTACATTGTCCAGGAGATGCCCCCCCAGAGTCCAGCCAACATCTACTACAAAGTATGAGGGCAGTCGCCATGACAACCTACAGTACTACCAACTACAACCTACCCTGTCCTATACAGTACAGTACCACCTACAGCCTACCTACAACCTACCCTGTCCTATACAGTACAGTACCACCTACAGCCTACCTACACTCACTGACTTACCCTCCAAAACCACAAAGATCTTTAGTCCCCTAAACAGTATCTGAACTTCCCTATCCATCCCCAATCCCAGTCACAAGTGTGTGCATCTAGCTAACTGAAGAGGCCATCCGTACGCCCACCACTCTTCACTCAACTGTGTCACTAAGCTAAGTGTGGAGGGTTTAGTATATAACCCCTCACTCAGCCCCCACCGGCCCCTTTAAAGAGGACAGCACTGGCAAGAGACTCTGGGCCCCACTTCTTTTATTTCTCTCACCGTGAATCAAACCCCCCCTCACCAGAGCTGAAGAGAAGAGTCCCGCCCTGTACACCATGAGGACAAGTGTGTGAGAACACGCACACCAAGCTAGTGTGAGAGAACACACACTAGTAACACCACAACATGAACTTCTGGGACTGACCCCTAGAAAACCCACCAACCAATCATATCCAGAGAACTCTGTATCTCTCCAATGCTCCTGTCCTGTACCAGACCTACCTGCCTCCTGATTGGACCCTGAGACTAACTGTGGCCCCTGATGTTATAACTCACAGATAGGATCCTAGTTTGTTTGTGTGTGTATGGTTTGTCATTGGACCAGGGGCCTCTGACTCTCTCACCCAATCAGAAAGCTGGGCTAGGGTCACGTGATCAAGCCCAGGTGCCCGAGGTCAGACCAATCGAGTCTTAGTGACATTCAGAATCTTGTATATTTTAATAATGTGTGTGTTTGTGTATGTGCGCGTGCGTGTGTGTGTGTGGGACTAGGATAATAATTCTGACACTGCTGTTGCACAGAAAAGTGTGTGTGCAGTTAGTGTGCTTTAGTACAGTGTGTGTGTGGTGTGTGTGTTAATCTATGTGTATACGCTACGTGTGAGCGAATATGTGTATGTTCGCGTGTCTTCTTTAGACTTGTCTTAAAAACCAAAACACAAAAAAGTGAGCGAATATAAAAAAAAATGTGAGCATTTTTTATTGCTAGCAACAATTACAGATTATATATGAATATGAATATCCAGTAAATAATTTCTAGACGTCTTGTTTTTTATAGTTTTTTATTTTGATTCCTCCACTTGTAAAACAACACTTCTGTTATACTGCTAGATCTTTTTTTATCCTGTGCTTTATTTTTTGCGATTTAGAAACCTGACCCTGTTTCCTTCCCCTTTGAGTTGCAAATTAATTGAATCCCTTTGTTTTTCTTTCCTTGGCAAACTGAGGTCGTTTCTCTCTCCCTCCCTCCCTCCCTCCCTCCCTCCCTCCCTCCCTCCCTCCCTCCCTCCCTCCCTCCCTCCCCTCTCTGGGCCTCTATGTATATTTTTTATAGTTCTTGTACTATGCTGTAGTTTTGAAGTTTAGACCTCGTTTGTGGAAGTTGTTGAGGTAGAAACCATCTATGAACTTATTTTTTTTCCCAAACACTTTTGAACAAAAGAAAAAGCAAGGGGGGAAATGAACGAGGGCGGGTTCCAAATGAAATAAAATAGAATGAAAAGAAAGAACGGGAACCCGAGTCGCTGTCTAGGGGGAAAAGAGAAAGAGCGACTGAATGCGGAACTTTTGTTAAAAGAAAAGAGAGAAAAGACTGAAGAAGGAAGAACGCAAAGTAAGAGTGCGAGAACAGATGGAAGAAGAAGTGGGGGGATGGGAGCTGAATTGAGCGATTAGAGAGAAGAATCCCTGGGAAGGATAGAGAGAGTGAAACAGTGACTGTGGTGGAAGAGAGGAGCCTTTCCTTCAATGAAGTACTGAGAAGGAGTGATGGAGCCTAGGAGGAGGGAGGAGAGGAAAAGACACACAGCTGAAATGGATTTCAGGGCGAAACCTCACTGTGGAGCGATTTCATCTAAAACACACACACACACTGACAGATAGACACACACTGACAGATAGACACACACTCAAGACAATTGTCCTTTTCTCTGAAGGGAAATTGGCACATTTCAAATTCCTCCCATTTACCCCTTAAACAGCTTTATATTTCAGACACACTCTACACTGATTATATTGACACAGACACACTGATCCCTCTAACATTCTCTTTCACTGTCAAACACACACACACACACACACACACACACACACACATACATGTATATGCTGATTTCACACACACGCTCTCTCTGTCTGGCTCTCTCTGCATCCCTTCTCTCTGCCTCACACACACACACTGATTGCTCTCATGTGGCTCCCTATTTCTGACACAGTCCTGGCTTTCTCCCCATGATTAAGTCAACCTCTGTGTGTGACAGAAGGATTAAAAGAGGGTTTGTGCTCCCTGTTTGTGTGTGTGTGTGTGTGTGTGTGTGTGCATGCGTGCATGTGTGCGTGTTTAACTATACTTGTGGGGACCAGAAGTCCCCACAAGAATAGTAAACAAACAAAAATTGGACCAACTGGGGACATTTTGTTAGTCCCCACAAGGTCAAATGCTATTTCTAGGGGGTTAAGGTTAGAATTAGGGTTAGGTTTAGTTTTAGGGTTAGGGTTAAGGTTAGGTTTTGGGGGTAAGGTTAGGGTTAGGGAAAATAGGATTTTGAATGGGACTGAATTGTGCGTCCCCACAAGGTTAGTTATACAAGACTGTGTGTGTGTGTGTGTGTGTGTGGGTGGGTGTTTTTCTCAAACAAGTTCCTGTCAGTCTCTTAGCCTGGCTAATAACAGTTTTCACACCCTTTTTCTAAAGCAAAGCTTTTTTCAAACGTGCCGTGTGTTAAATTATGTTGTATAGGCTAGCTGCTATTTAGTATTGTTGAGTGTTAGACCAATGATGTGTTCAAAACAGGCACAACAACCTGTAAATACACACAGACGCTCACAAAATAGCAGACAATAGATGATGTGCCATACTTTGAAATATCCCTCATGCTCAACAGGTGTATGTTTGTTCCAAAAGCTTCACTCAAAGTGTGTGTTATTCATATGCACACCTGCTCAAAAAGCTTTATTTGAAATATTGCTTTAAAGTTTGTCTTACTACTACATCTACTCTCTATTTCATATCATTTGTATGTTGTTTAATCTGTTCCCATTATACGTTTTGAATTTAGAAAGTGTTAAGAGAAGTTGACAAAATAGGGTAAAAGTTTCACCCCAATCTCTGTACTACAGCATCAGGATCTTGGTATTTATGTATGTATGTGGGAATCTGTCTTGTCTACAGTACAAATACACGACCACCAGGAATACTGTATACCTTCAAAAACACCCTCAAAGCCAAACTACAAACTCTCTCTGAATTCTGAAATCCTCTGACACTCTAAATGACAGTATTTGACAAAGATGGCTGCTGCCACAAACAAAAACACTTGGATTTACTTCCTGGACTTTGTGGAGTTGCTACTCTGAAGATGCTGCTCATTCGCAAAATGGTTCCTTCTCTCCCTCTCTCTTCTCCCTCTTCATCCTCTCCTCTCTTTTTCACTGAGGAGAATCTCCCTCCGGGACTCAAAGCTTGGGCTTTTTTGTTATCATGTCGGTCGGTGTTTTTCTAAAAGGTTGTCTCTCTCTCTTTCACTGTTTGCTTTTGACTGTTTTCAATGTGTTGGATTTTTCTCATGGATCGTCATTTCAAAAAGAGAGGTTTCTTGTTTTGTGAAAACGCACACCTCCTCCTCCTCCCCCACACCTCTGTTGGTGTGTGTATGTTTCTTTGTGCCAATAGCCAGCAGGTTGAGGCAAGAGAGTGCGGGTTGGCTCTTGTACGTGACGTGTTGAGACTTTGTATTGGGACACTAGTGTGTGAGATGGGTTTGTGTCCACCTTCTCCTCCTCTCCTCCTTTCCTCCTCCCCCCATCCCTCCCATCACTATGACCCTCCTCGACCTCCTCTCCTCCCCCCATCACTATGATCTCCTCCTCCTCCTCTCTTTCTCTCCTCCAACACACCTCTAAAGAGAGGAGAAAACTAGTACATTCCTGCTTCGGAAAAATGTTGATTAAAAAAACATATGTTTAAGCACCACTCTCTGGTCTGGTCGTGGGTTCATTATTGTATGATGAGGTGTGAAGATCTTTGCGTGTGTGTGTGTGTCTGTGTGTGTGTGTGTGTGTTTGTGTGTCGTGTCTGGAAGGGGTAATGTACTCCAATGAGGCCCTGTCTCTCAGATGTAAACCTGTCAGGTCTCTCTCATATGGGGGTTTGTCTTAGCAGGGGTCCATTCACTGTTCCTCTATATAAAGGTACCCATTCAGTCCACACACACACAGCCTGCTCCCCCAGTTGTGTTATCAACCAGTTATCTACCCCAGCTTCGTTAGTGTTTGGTGTTGCTTAGCAACGTATCGACATAGATGACCGTCAGCCCTAACAGCTGTACCAACTCCCTTTCTCTCTCTTTCCGCCATTCTGTACCAACTCCCTCTCTCTCTCTTTCCTCCATTCTGTATGAACTCCCTCTCTCTCTCTTTCCTCAATTCTGTACGAACTCCCTCTCTCTCTCTTTCCTCCATTCTGTACCAACTCCCTCTCTCTCTCTTTCCTCCATTCTGTACCAACTCCCTCTCTCTCTCTTTCCTCCATTCTGTACCAACTCCCTCTCGCTCTCTTTCCTCCATTCTGTACCAACTCCCTTTCTCTCTCTTTCCTCCATTCTGTACCAACTCCCTCTCTCTCTCTTTCCTCCATTCTGTACCAACTCCCTCTCGCTCTCTTTCCTCCATTCTGTACCAACTCCCTTTCTCTCTCTTTCCTCCATTCTGTACCAACTCCCTTTCTCTCTCTTTCCATCATTCTGTACCAACTCCCTCTCTCTCTCTTTCCTCCATTCTGTACAAACTCCCTCTCTCTCTCTTTCCTCCATTCTGTACGAACTCCCTCTCTCTCTCTCTCCCATTGTAACGAACTCCAGGTTCTCTGTTCTTTTTCTCCA